GCCATAATAGTTAGTACATATACGCCGCCCGCCGACGAAGTAAAAATAGGTATTATTGACGACTGATGACTGACGGGTTCCGGGGTGTCTCTGAATTTCCCATAGAATAATTTCCTGATATGTACAATATACATCACAGATAAAGTCATCGCTACAACTATACATATAAGTCATACAACTTTATAATACATACTATTATACTATACAACCGCTATCGTRTTTTATAAATAACCAATTTGTATTTCTGAAATTCCGCGTGTTTGGTCGAGACGGTCGAGTATTATCACCATTATCTTTATAATAATTGAGGGAGTAAGCACAAATAACTTATCATGTAACACTATTATTATTAGCTTTTTTAAATAAAAAATTGATGCCCCTTGAAATTTGATGCCCCCTCTCGCCACCCCCCTAAATACGCCACTGATCCAATGCCTTGTGGCAAACGAGAAAGGCGAAGATTTAATAATATTAAAGCATACAAGTTTTATGCATCAGTGTACTTACGTATTTATCTCAAACCGATTAGTAGTAGCAATCAGCTAAGGATAGACTCATTATCAGTTGCACAGTTGTCTAAACACTCAAAAATATAATATCGTATTACACAAATAACATAATATCTTATACTTAATTTGACATAATTTCGGACAAGGTAGCGTCAAATCAGGAATTTTATTAAATGCCTAGGCGTATAGTCAAAGAAATTAATCCTACTGAAATTTTACTATCCACCTAGACATTTAGTTAAAAACCTATTCAATGTCAAACAAATAATAAAAAAAACATWTTGTATTATTTTAAAAATTTAAATATATTTTATATCAGTTATTTATTGCAATTTTATAATATATAAAAAAGCAATGTATTATTTCTTTATGTGAAAAACACGTTGGTAAATGAAATAAAATGTTTAATTTCGTGTTTACTATTACTATTGTTTTAAAAATGAAATCATAAATATATACAGGTAAAACCTAATAAGATGTGATAGACGTAGATAATAGTACGAGTATATTGTGTACCATTATAGTGAGTATAGACTAGCTACAGTACGAATAGTGAGTCGTACAATACATTTTTATTACATAAAAATAAAAGTTCCATTGCTTTTATTATTTTATTTTCTACGAGTTTAACATATTAGTAAATAATACATAGTTTATTTTATCCATAACATGGAAATAAATAACTAATAGAAAATATATTTAAATTCTTAAAATAATACAAAATGTTTTTTTATTATTTGACTGACATGAAAAATGCATTTCACTAAATGTCTAGGCGGATAGTGAAATTGCAGGATGGATGGCATATTTCATCATCACAGTAAGATCGCCTGTATTTCACCAAACACTAGTTTTTTATAATCTGCACATAATTCGTGGACGAAAGAAATAAAAATACCATCACTAAACGCAAAATTTGAATGTTTGAATACAAATATTGTGACCATGCAATTTAGAAAATTGTTAATCCGTCATCATACAATTTGAATTTCATATATAAAAATATCAAAATATATTCATAAATATTCGATATCTATAGGGATGCTAGTATGAATATTCAGCGAAAATTTCAAATACCAACATGACATATAATTTTAATTTTTTTTTAATTCGGTCAAACAAGCTCGGGTTTGTCGAAAACTGGTATTTTCTATGCTATATTCATTACTCAATCGAATCTGTTCGATATCGCGAAATATGATATTATTCTAAAGTTTGAACGTTCTTTTCTTGAGGTTAAAAACATATAAATTAATAATTTTCAGCTACAACAAAAATTTAACACAATGTTGATGATAATWTTTTCTGATTGTAACGTTTWTATTTGTTTGAAATATTTAATAGTTAAAAAAAAGCTCATATATCCTTAGATTTTATATCACGCCTGCGACTGAAATTATATTATTATAATTTCAAATACTTATCTAGTGATACGTTACAACTGATAGGTATAGTATAATAAAATAATAGTGCTCGTTAGAATAATTGCATTACAGAAAATGTAACACTATCGTTATTATGATGGACAGTAATATAACGATATTGTACATGATATTTTGTATAYAATTTGACACATAAACTAAGAGAAAATAACTAGTTAAAKTGTAAATKATATACATTATACCTATACGTTTTAGGTATATTTTAAAGTATCTAGTTGTTTCATAAAATAACTGATTCGACACTTTAACTGTAACATATAGATTACTATGATAAACCAATGTTTTAGAATCATGTAGGAATTATTATGGAAAAATTGTAGTAATATTACATATGGCATGTAGCCATATCGTTTACATTTTTGATTTAAATAAAATGTTTATTTATTGTACGACAGACATTTATAATTCAAAATTTGTATGCTCATTACATTTATGTACRAAATGAAATTAGTACTATCTACATACAATAGGTATAAGGTCAAGATTAAACTTTAGACTGTTAATAAAATTTAAAATAAATGGCAAGCATTATTATTTATGCTTAAGATTCCATTTGCTCAATTATTGCAAAAAGAAAAATCTCAATAAAACTATAATTATAAGATAAAATATTATATRATCTGAAAAATGGGACAGAAAAATGTAATATTAACTTA